AATCTTGAAAATTGACAGTCCAAAAATTAGTTACAAGATGTATTATTTCTAAAACTTGAAATCTTTTTTTTTCTCATGTCCATAAGGCATCAAAACAACCTCTTCTGGTGAAAGTTTTGAGGTAGGCTCTAATTTGATTGTTTAGAGCCTACGCTCTATATAAACGTTTATCAAAAGTAAATGTCAATTCCTCGAATATATTCACTTAGCTCCTAACATATTATGGATTTAATATAAGACCCAATGTTAACACGATATGTAATAGCAATACATTCGTAGATAGAAAAGTAAGTATTAATTCGGTTTGATGTATAAATGAAAACTGAGGTGAAAGTAAGTATTAATTCGGTTTGATGTATAAATGAAAACTGAGGTGAAAGTAAGTATTAATTCGGTTTGATGTATAAATGAAAACTGAGGTGAAAGTAAGTATTAATTCGGTTTGATGTATAAATGAAAACTGAGGTGAAAGTAAGTATTAATTCGGTTTGATGTATAAATAATGTAAGACCCAATGTTAACACTTTATGTAATAGCAATACATTCGTAGATATTCGGGTATGTAATAGCAATAAATTCGTAGAAAATTCGGGTATGTAATAGAAAAGTAAGTATTAATTCGGTAAGTATTCGTAGAAAATTCGGGTATGTAATAGAAAAGTAAGTATTAATTCGGTAAAAAAGATTTGTTGAGTTGGGGTGAGAGAGGCTCGAGCTCAGGATTACTCGTGTAAGCTATGAGACCTACGAGTTAGCCAACTGCGCCACCACCCCACACAATGCTTAATTACCTTCGCTTTCTTAAACAACATGGTATCTAATTTTCACAATTTAATTAATTAACTAATAAATCAATGCAAATACATTCCTCCCATTCAAGGGCAGATATATTCGTTTGAAAATTTACCCAAAAAAAAAAAACGGCACTTTTTTTTTAAGGCAATTCTTAAGAGTTTAATTCTAAATAATGTTTTAAATATTTGATCGGGCATTGGACTCAGCCCTAACCTGAGCTGAGTTACTTGGGCTAGTCCGCGTGCACTTGCTTAAGTAGTCCACATTTCCTAGAAAGGCTACAATAAAAATAAAAAAAAGAAATACATTGTCAAAAGTAAAAACCAAACTAAACCATAAAAAGCATTACAACTCTAAAAATGATGCAAAAAAAATTTACAAAAGATAACATTTGGAAAAAAAATATTAAAAAAATTCGATAGCTGGAAATAATTCAAAAAATATCAAAAGAGAGAAAATATAAATGCAAAACAAATGATAATAGAAGTTCATAAATCATATTTGTAAAGAAATATTATTTTCATGAATTATTTCTAGTTTTTTTTTAGTTTGTACACAATTATTAGGCTAGGAGAGATGCCAAATCCGAGTTCCTTAGCTGAGTCAATTCAACCAAGTCCCTGAATACCAACTCTAACACTTCTTCAGAAAATAATATTGTAAGACTATATTTCCTTCAAAAAAATCAGGGTTTTTAAATCATTTTGAAAACCACTCCTTTTTAAAATTATTTTTAAAGGAAAAATTTTAAAAATCAGATTTTAAACATGGTGTTGATTACAAATGAGCTCATTACTTATTATCCAACCTTGTACTCCATGTTTCTCGACAAGCATATCGATTACTCTATTGCACGCCCTTTTGTCTCCTTGGACATGCCATACCGCTCCTTAAACATTATAGAAATCTTCTTCTTTGGTTTTTGGGAAAATTTTGGCTGACTTTTATTACACCACTTTTGACTTTGCATATTGTTAACCCTTAAATGACATTCACCAATGCGATGCCAAGTGTTTTAGGAACATCAAACATGATAATGATAAGGGCACCACTTTTATTTCTTGGGACTTGTATGTAGATGTGCGTCCCCTTTATGATCTATTTTTGAGATAGATTTGAGACTTAATTTTTTTTGATGTCGTTTATATAAGGTAGAGGCCCTAAACGATCAAAATGAGGCACACCTCTAAATGGTATCGAAAGATGATTTTTCAAAAGAAAAAATCTTTGTAATGGCCTAAAACTATAATTTCACCCTAATTATAAAATTTAAAGCTACAAAAAATAGCATAGATCTATAAACACTTGAAAATATTGAAAATTGATGGCCCATTTTACAATACACTATTCCCTAAATATAAAATCTATTTTTTTTTCATGTCTTTATATCTCGAGGTCGAGATGACTGAATTGAGGATTTTTCGACATCAAAACAACCTCATATAGTAAATTTTTGAGACACGCCTCAATTTGATTGTTTAGGGCCTCAGCCTTATATAAATTTTTTATTTATTTATTTTTATATATAATCTCCAAGATAGAGAATAGTTAAACACTAAAATTTGAAAACTAAGAATGATAATTTTTTTTCAAAAAAATTCCAAACTGTCAATTTTAGATTTTTTTTTTTTTGGAGAGACAACAACACCACATCCATAGATGTGGGATGTCTTGGCAAACGCAAATCGAGTTATGCGTCGCCCAATGCATAAACAACTTTATCTATCGATTAATGTAAGGGATTGTATACATTGAGACCATTTACTTTTGAATTAGAGAGGTCACAATTACTTATAACCGTTTGATGTGAAATCTAATAGCTTGGGTGCGTCACAAAGTTTGAAAAAATTTATTCTGAAGTTTGACCTTGGTCAATAAAATAAATGCAGTCACTCAATTTTACATTCAATGGTCAAGATTTATTGTGACCACCTTGTAGCAAAGGTAAATAGTCTCATTATATATTTTCCCAGCCTGGTTGACACTAGGGCTATGCCCACGAAATCGGCCTGAGGGCTAGGCCACCACGGCCCATTTTTCTTTATGTCTTTTTTTCTTTGTTTCTATTTCCCGGCTTAGCCTAGGTCAGAGCCTATTTTGCCTAGTCTGAGCCTCCAGACCAGCCTTGCCCTTTGGGGGTTAGGGCTAGGCAAGGAAAAGAGGCTGGCCGGTTGCCAGCATACTCTCATCTTTAAACAAATGAAGTATTGTCCATTTGCATATTCAAGTCGCCTTTTACCTTTACTTTGAGGTATCGAAAGCAATGTTATTAAATTCGCTACGCTTCAGTTGAAGCCTTCAGATTTTAAGCATAAACCGAAGCAAAGAGAAGCATGGTGTTGTCCCTTTAGTCAGATTCATGGTGCTTTGGGATGCTTCAATCTGCTTCGGCCGAAGCTTCGAATTGCTTCGGCTGAAGCTTCGAGTTGCTTCGGCCGAAGCTTCGAGTTGCTTCGGCCGAAGCTTCGAGTTGCTTCAGTCTGAAAATAAATACCTATATAATTCGACCAAAGCACCGAATTGCTTTATTTTTCTTACAAAATCAAAGAACACTCCGAAGCAAATATGAAAACATTGTTTGAAAGCATTCAATGAGCATTGGTTGAAGAGCAAGCAACTATACCTATTTTGTGAAAAATCGGAGAAAAAAAAAACCATACCTATTTTGTGTGTATCATTTGTTTTCAAAAGGGATTGTAGAGTTATTCAAAACTATCCACCTAAGAATCATTGGAGGATTATTTTCAGCCAATGATATGAATTTTGGGTTCTTCAAGACTTAGATCTGACATTGGATGAATTCTATTTAATTTTAAAGTTATTTTTTTAAGGTAAATGGAGAGTGCATTTGATTTTTTAATTTTTTGAGTTGGTCGTTGGGCTGAAGGAAATGCTCCCGCAGGAGCACGGTATTTGTGACCTTTTTATAGGTTTTTAATTTGGAGAGTGAGAACACGAGTGCATGTGACGTTTGCCGTAGAGAATTCTATGGATAATAAACAACTATTTTTACTATTATAAGCTAAATGTCGGGAACGTTTCAATGCCTACATATGACATGGAAAGTTCTATGTCTTTCTTATTTATCTGAGGATGAAGTTTCTATGAGGCCTAGGATATGTGAAAACCAAATGAAGCCTCACCTTAAATCATCTGTAAAGCACTTTCGGCCACAAAAATCTCCGTGATGACTCTAAAATCAATTTCCAACATTGACAATAAAGTTTGAAACTCAAAAAAATCGTATAGATCCTATAGATCTTTGAACACTTATTTTTAAGGCAAAATAAACGGTCTAGATAATTTTATTAAAATATATATTATTTCTTAGAATTTAAAATCCTAATTTTTTTTCACAACCATAATGTTCAAGTTGATGTAAAGGTTTTCAATACTTGAATTATAATTTTCGATGAATCATTAGGTGAGGGTTTACTTATTTTGATAGGGCTGCACCCCTATCAAACAATTTTGATTTATCTAAAATTCCCTTTCAAAGTATGTTCGATGTGCTCGCGTGAATGATTTCAATACTTTATGCTTTTCAACATCTACAAGTCAGTTGTGCGTCTATAAGACGCAATATAATCGCAATCCTTGGACGGTTTTTTTTTTTTGGTGTCAATACATAAGACGGTTCAGATCGAGGTTTAAAAAATAGGCAAATCGGATAAGAACCAGGCGGTTTGGATCGGGAATCGGTCGTGCCAATTCAATTCTGTCTAAATATTAGGAATAGGCTGGTACGGTAAGAGAACCACATGTGTTTTTTGATTTTTTTCAATTTTTTGTTTTAAAAAAAAATTATTTGCCAATCCACTCACCCAAATTACCAACCCGATCCTATGATCCAAATTGGTTTTCTGGATGGGTGATCTGGATTATCGAACCATGTTTTTATATTGCGGTTCAGATGGTGTCATGTGTGTTCTTCAATTTTGAATAAATCTTAGGAATCAAGCTTGACATCTCAAGTTGAATTCCTACCGCTAAACAACCTAAAACAAAAAAAAATTCAGATTAATCTTTCATAAAAACAGATTAAATTTCGGATATTTAAGGTGGGGAGCCTGGGACTTGAACATCGGCCAATTCATTGAAAATACTGTATTCCATCAGGGCAAAATGGTCCAATAAAATTAGGGGTGTTAAAGAGATTACGATAAAGAATGGGGCAACACTCCTCGTTTCACTCGAACTCACTCATCACGGTGGTGTGTATAATTGCAAGAACTGTGCAAAAACTTTGAGCTTTTTCTTTCACTTTCCCTTCTCCCTTGTTTTCTCTTACTTCATTTTTTGTGCAGTCTGCAATGGCGACGGCTTGTTCTTCTCACATGGCAAGTGCAATTGTCTTTGTTTTGGTGGTATTTTGTTGTGTTAAGAGTGGTGTTTCAGAAGAGATTCATACAGTGGGGGATAATAGTGGATGGACAGTAGGCACTGTAAATTATACTTCATGGGCCGCTTCCTTGATTTTCCATGTTGGGGATATCCTTTGTAAGTTTCTCTCTCTCTCTCTCACACACACACACACACACATTTTGGAGAAACCCCATTACTTCATCCAGCTATCTCTAACTCTTGGCCTTTCCTCCACTGTTGATGCTTTTACCAGTATTCAAATACAACAATCAGTTCCACAACGTGCTTAAGGTCACCAAATCCGCCTACCATTCCTGCAACGCCACCGAGCCCCTCGCCACTTACACGACAGGCAACGACTCTGTTGTCATCAACAAAAGGGGCCACCTTTTCTTCATCTGTGGCTTCCCTGGTCATTGTCAAGGTGGCCAGAAGGTTGATATCCGAGTCCCGAAGGCTGAATCGATTGCACCGTCTTCCTCGCCTTCTTCAACTCCTTCTCCTGCTTCTTCTTCTTCTCAAACCGAATCGCCTGCTACTCCGGCTCCGAATAAGGTGGATTTGGGGAGGAAGCCTATGACTTTTATGGCTTTCTGGGCTCTGGTTTTCATGGAGGTGGCACTGGTTCTTTGATCTGAGATTTTGGGGTTTTCTTAAATGGTTTTTTTTCCCATGTTTTGGGGTCTTTTGGTGATTGAGATGTGCCTGAGATATCAGAATTTGGGTTAACTTTGTGGAGTTTTTGGTTAGATTTTGGGGTTTTATGATAGGGTGTGGGTTCTTTAAATTGTCTTTGAATTTGGGTTCGGTAAATTGTCTTTCAATTTGGGTTCTTTCCCTAAGTACTCAGAAATCGGAGTTTTCTGGTTCCTTAGTAGGTGGTTAGGGTTCATTGTTCATGAATTGGAGGAATGCAAGACCAAGGAGAATAACATAAACCCCTCAAGTTGATAGTTAATTGGTTGGTAGTTGCTTTTATCCTTTTAAGAATATACATTTCCTGTGTTGGATATTTACTTTTTCTTTGTTACATTACCATTGATTTAGATTTGGAAAGTATTTTTATGGGGAAAAAGTTTATATGAGGATGCAACCTTATAATGTAGAACTACGGATGCACCTCAAAAATCCATGGAAAAAGCTAGTTTTAATGTTGAAAAACCCTTTCATTGATCGTATCCAACGCCGAGATGTATGATCATGGAAAATAAAAAGATTTTAAGTCTCAGAAATAGTGCATATTGCAACGTATTATCTACACCGTTCATTTTAAAGATTTTCATATATGTTTCTAAACCTACTTGATTTTAACCCGTT